ATTCTTTCCTCTTCACCTTCATTTTCCCACCCTCCAGATGGGACACAGCAGCTCCGAGTCCACTGAATTCAAAATCCTTCTCTTCTACCCAGAGTTTCTGCAGGCACCGCTGCTGTTGCCTGAACTAACTAAATGCTGGAATCATGTTACGGAGAACAGACCCTTCTTTGTAAAAACGCTTAACTTGCCCCATCCTTTCTGCATATGGTGCATGAACATTTCTGTGTGTCAAAGGACATCATTTAAGTAGCTGCGGTGGTTACCAAGGGGTTTCAGATTAATTCATTCCTGATGTTCACTGCGTTGTTAAATTTGACAGTGTTTTTAATCCAGTTAGAGAGTGTATGCAAACAAGCCATCATGATTTGTAAAGTTAAAATTTGTGAGAATCTTAACAAAATAGAAGCCTTGTACCGTACTAAAAATCCTCACACCTTTTTTTTTTTAATTATTATTATTTTTCCTTCCCAGAACTACATTTGAGTAAGGGAAAAATCCTAAATCTTTTAGTAGTTGCATATTGATATATGTTACCTAGGACTGTTCCAGCTCTCATTTCTTACATTTGTATTATAATTGAAATAATTGTCATAACGTTGACAAATACGTCAGTTGTTAAGGCAACATGTGATGTTTAGCTGGCACATAAACAGATCATTTGTCTTTCTTTTCTGGGGAAGTCTAGCTGTTTTCAAGGCAGAGATCACCGATAATTTCTTGGTTACCAATCCAATTAGGCCAAGAAATTCAAAATTAGAAGCCTAAAGTTTGGCTGCCACTGGCCTCAGTTTGGATTTGGGAACCTAACTCCAAGCTCCTATATTTTTAAACATTAATTGGAAGAAATAAATATCTGTTCCCTCAAATTAAGCCACCTGCTTAGTAGAGTATTTTCCCATTTTCTGCCTCTTCCGGCTATGGTTAGTCCCCTCATTTGTCCTGGTTTTTGTTTGTTGATCCTAACATTCGTTGCTTCTATCCTGGTACAGTAAGTTTTCTAGAGGTTTCCCTCTCTTCTCCTCTCCTTACCAGGGCTATGCTTAAAAAGCATTACTGGCCTAATTCATGATAAGGAATTCTGGCTTTTTATCAACATAATTATGCTGGTAAATGTTCTGTTGTAAATGAAGCCATGCTAGCGTAAGAAGCTTTATACCAGTAGATGGATTATTTCACTTCATCAAACTGGAATAACTATATTGCTATAAGCATTTTCACACTGGTTGAACTGCTTTCTACACAGTGGTTATTTTACTGCTTTAACTATGCCAACACAATTAAGGCAGCAACATTTTAAAGCATAGCCATGAGCTTAATTTCACACCCTGACCCATACACAGGGAGTGTGACTACAGAGCCTTCCCACCTTTAAATTCACAGTACAAGAGGCACCCACAATTGTAATCTGTATATTTGGGTGGGGAGGAAGGGAAGCAGGCCTTCCTAATCCTGACTTACTGTAAATTGTAAACCAAATGTGTATATTTGCTTAACAGTGCATACTTGCAGTGTTAGAAAATCAAGAGGGAGGCATCTTCTTTATCTTATGGAAAGGGCTTCAAGAGCATCCTTTTGAAAGTTTCCACTGAGTATTTTTCTGCCCCATGCCTGTCTGCTCCACTTTCTTCAGCATCTGAGAGCCTCACAACTTTCCTCTGATCTTGGTATTACCACGCACTAGATGTTGCCCTATTCAGATCTCCCTCACCTCAGGGTCATGACTCCACAAAGGAAGGGATTTAGGAATATAGTTGTTGTTGCTGCTGGTTGATGGGAGGCAGAAGGCCTCTACCCTGCCTTCTAGCTGACTTCAGACTAACATGGCTCTTCCCTTATTCACTGACAGTCTATCAAGGTGCATATATATCTATATATAGAGATATATCTATCTCCACCCTGCCTTCTAACTCCTTTTTCGGTTGCTTGATAGCACATGATTTTGGATATTTCATCTCTCCCTTCAGTGCACTGTCTGCTCCACAAGTAACACCTCATTCCTCCTGGAGCACAATCATGAGCTGATACAAATAGTATGTGACAAGGAAACAGGAAGCAAAAACCCCTCAGTTGTTGGTTCCTTACCTAGAGATTAAATGCATTCCAGACACTAACCAAGCAAAGCTGGAGACACTGCTAGGGAGCTTGTAGTCTCTGGCTAAAACGCCCGAGGTAAAGATGTTTTGCACGGTAGGATTCTCAGGGTGTAATGACAGCCGGGAGGTTCAACCCCAACTACAGGAAACACGCAAACTGTATCGAATCTTTACTTTGTGCCTAAAGTGAAATGGTCTCTAGCCAATATTTAAAGGAGAGAGAATTTCTTCAAGCAATGATTATGCCAAGGCCATAACGCCATCATGATTTTGTATGCAAAGGAAAAATCACTGAGGGCCATCCTTGAAGGAAGAAGAAAAAAAAGCATTACTGTGCATTTATCTTATCATTCCTTATTTCCTTTAAACATAAGCACTCACCCTAAATCCACCTGCGCTGGCACAGGACCCTTTATAACATTGTCCATTGGAGATAATTTCTTATAAAACAGCCAGGGGCAAATTGGGGGGGGGGAATTGATACAATTGCACCTGCTTTGATTCCTGGTCCATCCAAAGTTTAAAACCACCTTCTACAGGCATAGGGAGAGTCTGATGGTCTGTGCCTAAAGGGTGTTTGTGCCTAAAAGCATGCAAAGAACAATTTTTCCCGACTATTTAGTTGGTCGAATACAAGAGATCACATCTACTCAAAGGACCTCGTGTGCCCACGTCCTTAGACCAACACGGCTACAGCCATCACCCCTGGTGTTGGCGTCTACTGATTCCTAAGGAGGACAGGAGCCCGGAGGTGCCAGAACCCAAGGCGGGATGAGTTTCCTCCATGCTCTGACACCGGCACCCGATTAAAGGCTGCAACCTGCCATTTCCACGCTGCCGTGGGCTGCCACAGCCCTGAGTGCAGTTACCCTGGAGCCTTGCTCTCAAACAATTAAAGCAATGTTTTTGGGTGTTTTTTTTTTTTTTTTAAAAGCCCAATTCCAATAAGCGGACTTGGCAGCACTGGTTGTAGCCCTGTTGGTCTAAGGACACAGGCAGACAAGGTTCTTTGGGTCCATTTTATTAGATAGATAGTTGGAAGAATTGCTCTTTGCAAGCTTTCGGGCATAAACACCCTTCTTCAGACGCGCACCATCAGGCTCTCCCCGTGCCGTAAAAGGGCGTTTGTGCCCAAAAGAGCAATTTCCCCAACGATTTCGCTGGTCCAATTAAAAAAAATCGGATTTTACCTCAAGAACCCTATCTGCCTAAAATTTGGCAGCCACTTCCCTCCCTTCCCATCCACCACAAGAAAGCACCCCCTCAGGAAAACACTAGCAGCAGCAGCCCAGTCTCTCCCCCCACCCCATAAAGGCATCAGTCTTGCAGCAAGGGCCATTGCATTGCCCCTTGCTTCAAGCAAGAGCCCCTTTGGGTGCGATCCCCCCCCTGGAACCTTGAGGGGTGCGACCGTTGGCACCCCCCACCCCTCTAGAACGTTGCGGGGCGCCCCCCCCCCGTTTAGAACGTTGAGAGGCGCGACCGTTGGCGGCGCCCCCCCCCTTTAGAACGCTGCAGTTGGCCCCTCACGACCCCTTCGGCGCGCGCGGCGCCCCGACCCCCCCAGAGGAGCCGGGGGAGGAAGCGGGGGAGGGCGGGCTTCAAGCCTCCCGCTGAGGGGAGGGTCACGTAACCTTTCCTCAGCAGCTGCTTTGGGGCTGGCGGCTATCGCGAGCCCTCACGGCGACGCACATCTGCACATGTACTGCCCCCGTATAGCCAGAGGGGTTGTTGTGTGGGGTTTGGGGTTTTTTTGCAAGGGAGGGGTGGAGAGACAAAATGGTCTCTCTCCTTGGGAGAGAAGGTTGATTTAAAAAAATTAAACAAAACAAAAAAAAACTTCTCAGAAACTGGAGAGCTAGATCTGCCCCCCGTCGAGTTGTGACCCCAGCTGCACTGGGACTCGGTTTTCACGATACAAACACGGGCAACTAACTCTCTGCCTTTTGGTGCCCACAGCTTCATCCGGAAGGTGGATGTGGCTGGTTTTCTAAGAGACGGGTAGAAAATCCTCCCCCACCCCCTGCCGTGTTCCTCAGTCTTAAAATCGCCCCCGCAAAACAAAACAAAAAGTCCTTTACAATTTGTCACGGGTGGATTTGGTAGGGAGCATTCAGTGAGAAACGGGCAAAGCATTCAGTTTTAGTCATAGCTCCCAAAATCTTAGCTGGCTGAAGGGGAAAACGTTCAAATAGGCGGGGGGAGGGATGTAGAAACCCCCCTCACAGTGTCTATAGGTACAACACATGCACAAAAATCAGCTTTTTGATGTAGGGATGTAGACACCCCCATCACAGTGTCTATAGGTACAAAACATGCACAAGTCATCTTGTTCATGTAGGGATGTAAAAAAACCCTCACAATTAGTGTATATAGGTACAAAACATGCACAAAAGTCATCTTTTTCACGTAGGGATGTAAAAAAACCCGTCACAGTCAGTGTCTATAGGTACAAAACATGCACAAAAATCATCTTTTTCATGTAGGGATGTAGAAAACCCCCTCACAATTAGTGTATATAGGTATAAAACATGTACCAACATCATCTTTTTGATGTAGGGATGTAAAAAAACCCTCACAGTCAGTGTATATAGGTACAAAACATGTACCAAAATCATCTTTTTGATGTAGGGATGTAGAAACCCCCCTCCCCGAGTTAGCATATATATATAGGTACAAAACATGCACAAAAATAATCTCGTTCTCGCAACTCGAGGCTCAGCTGCACTGATACAGCTTGTGTCTTTGCTTTGGGGCTGAAAAGCAAGATTTGAATGCATTCTTTTCTACTGGAAACAGCAGAGGTTTTTAAGTCACGTTGCACGAAAACTGAATGGGAAGGAAAGAGCTCCTGTCTCGTGTCTGTTCTGCCACATCCACATCGGTGACATGATGCTGTAGTGACACACTTGATGAATTGCTAGTGCTAACTCCATTTTTCAATTTGACTGAGAAGTCCTGGAAGAAAAAAAGCAACAAATGTTTGTACCTGGATTTCATGAATGCGGCTGAAGCCGTCTTTCCAGAAGAACTCGTACAGGTTGCAGAAGAGGTTGGGTCCAGGCATTTCTTGCAGGCTCCTCACCCTGTGGTGGTGGCGGTGGTGCTGGGCAGGCTTCAACAGCCCTCCTGCTCCCTCCGCCACTGCCATCTCCTCCTCTTTGTCCTCTGCTGCTGCTTTTGCCGCTGGATTATTTTGCACCTCCAGAGCGGGGCTGCTAGACATTTTGGGCAGCTGTTGAAACCTGCAGACAAAAACCACACGATAAAAGCAACCCCATCTCTCGGGTTCAAGAGCCTGCTTACAATTGGATTTCAAAACCTTCAGTAAAAGAGACATTTTTTTTTTCAATTAAAAAACAAAAAAACCCGTCCAATTTGCTTCTGCAGCTGCTTTATTTGGTTGCTGTTTGTCCTCTGCTTTAAGTTGTAGGAGCAGCACTTCCAACTCTGACTGCACGAGCATCAGTTTACACAGGCCATTATGAAAGGCTCCCTCCCCTCGGGCTGGGAAAGGGGGTGGGCCTGGGATGAGACTGAACCTATTACTTCGTATAATTCAAATCAGATAAACTTACTCCTTAATCGTGCACTGTAGCAATCAGAGTTTAGCTTTCTCCTTCCCCCGCTCCTCGCTCTGACAAAAATTCTTACAGGGATCATCTTAATTTTCTCCTTTATTAAAAGGTGGATTTAAGATTTCCCCCCTATGATCCAGTTCATTTTCATGCGTTTCAGCAATACCTAATACACTGCATAAAATATATAATTTCTATATGCAATATATCTAAATGAAATAATTATTGCACTTCTCTAGGTCATAATTATGTAACTATGCAATAACATTTTAAAAAATACTAATAATTCATGTATAAAATGGCAGTGCTTTCTTGGAATAATTGTATATTTTTGTTCATATTTCTTGCAACCAGTGCCCATGTACATACTTTATTCTTGAATTTATTATGATTGTGTCTTTTCAGAGTGCTTTTCTCAGAAGGAACATCTGCCTACTCTTGCAAAAGTTTTAATTGAACTCTCTCTTTTTATTGGATATCATTCAATTTTGCTTTTACTTTCTTGATAAACCTATAGCCATTTCATCGTGATTTTTATTCTGCGCATAAACTTAAAATTCCAAACAGGATGTCATTCTGTTTTGCACAATGTTTTTAAAAGACTGTTACTGTCTCCCTGTTTACGACTTGATGCAAGTAAGGTGCTGGGTTGGTTGTTTCGTGAAGTGACTGTCTCACCTGCCGGCCCGTATCCGAATGCAGCAGTTAAATCTGAGTGAGAAGCTATGAGCTGCTCAAGTAAAACTTCATCAGGGAGATATGGCTGCCATGTGAGGGTCCCTGAATTTGGAATTCACAGCTCCTGGAAGGTTATCAGAGCCAAATCTAGTGAGCTTCAGCACATACCGTGAAATGTATGATGTAATGGTGATGCAATGGTGATGTAATGAGGATTGGAGATTTATGTTTTCTAGGGCCCTGATTCTGGAAAGATCCATGTGCTCGACTGTCATTGAGATCAGTGGTTCTCAACTTTCTTTGTAAACATAGATGGCTAGTGCTGTCCCAGTGCCCCTCATTCCCGACTGGCTGTCCCCTGCCCCCAGCCTCCCAGTGTGTGGGGCAGGGGGGGCCAAGCAGCCCCTTGTAGACTGGAGCTCTGCCAGCCTGCAAGGGAAAAGCCACATTTTTCTCCTTTAGAGGAGAACCTGTTTTTAAAGTTTGCTCAGGACACTTTCATATATTGTTGCCACCTGCTGATTAAGACCTTTCCAATTTACTGTATTTACTCAAAAGAGAAGGCAACCCTGATTATAAGGAGACCACCCTAATAATTAGATTCTATATATGAATAATTATACCAGAGGAAGGAAATCAAGAATTTTCTGGAAGAGACTGAAGAGAAAGAAGAGGAATAGAAAATACAGAAGATAGGAGAAAAGATACGTTTAAAGGAAGCGGAAGAGTGCTTAAAAACTTTTAAAAGAGGAAAACCTCCAGGAGCAGAGGGACTGGACTACCCATGGCATTTTACAAGAAATTCTGGTGGGAATCAATATAGCAGAGGTCTTTGAAGAAATAGTGGAAAAAGGAGAGGTGGGGAAGGATTTTACAAGCATTGATAGCAATGTTATTATCCAAGAAAGCAGAGAAAGAGCTTCTGAAGAACTAGAGACCAATTACCCTGCTAAATACAGACTACAAATTGTTGGCCTACACAGTAGCTCTGAGAATAGGAAGAACGTGAAAAAAGTGAAGCATGAAGATCAAACCTGTGCAGTCCCAGGCAGAAGGATTTCTGTCTCCGTTTGGCTGAGAAGCGATACTCTGACACACATTCAGGAGAGGAAGTTGAACATGGCAGTAGCAAATTTGGATCTGGAGAAAGCGTATGATAGAGTGGACCATGATTTTCTATTTGAAGTATTAAGGAAAATGGACTTCCCAGAGAAACTGATAGGTCAGATAAGACTGCTATATAGAAAGCCAAGTGCTAATAAATGGACATCTGAGCAGAGCCTTTAAAATCCAAGCCAAGGGTCAGATGAGGGTGCCAATATTATTTGTATGTGCAATGGAGCCACTGGCACAAAGAATAAGGAAAGATAAAATCATAAGTGGGATAATGATACTAGGAGGAGGAGCAGTAAAGTCATCAGTGTAGTGGCTAGGGAAAAATGATTGATTGAAAGGATACAAAAACATACAACAGAGTATGGTGAAGTGACTGGGGCTAAATTAAGCAAAATTAAAAGAGCTATGATGAGAGTGGGAAACTGGCGGGACCTAGAGAAACTTGGACTACAAGTAGTAGAGGGAGAGAGCAGGGTTGTATGGATCCCAACCAGGGCAGAAGGGAAAGAAAATAAAGCCTGGGAAAAGGTGGCAGCCAGGGTGCAACAAGTATTATGGTTGTTGTGGATGGGAAGGACACTGTCCTTGCTGGAAAAGTGGTGGCAGTTAAGGCCGTGCTCCTGACAATAATTTTGTATACTGGAATTGTGTTTCCAGCATCATGCTAGTGAAAGTACACAGGGAAATATGTATGTTCTTTTGGAAAGCAAAAAGAGAAAGGCTGGACTGTATAAAGCAAGAGAGGTGAGGAATGAGGGATGCTGGACATAGAACTGTTTGTTTACACAACTGCGTTCATGCAATGTGTAAAGCGGCAGCAGGGCTGAAGGGAAAGCAGCACACTTTAGCTGATTTTTAGCAGGTACAATCTTGAGAAAATGGGAAATGTATGGGGGCCCTTGGAAGAAGCCACTGGTGTAGCAATCTCCCGTTCATCACATAAGAATGGAAAGTTTTATAAAAATGTACGAAATAAGAGAGGTGGGGCTGGAGGCCCTGAAAGATCACAAGAGATTGACAAAAATTGTGAGTGAAGGAGACAGTATGGCACCGGTGAGAAACTTCACAGCAGGACAACAAACGACAAAGGGGAGCATGCTGATCTGGCTCAGCTGATGGTGAGAAATATCTTGCTGGTGAGAGAGGGGCATCAGCAGTGTGTCCAAGGGAGAGATGTGGGGAGGAAGAAACCGTGGGATGCATTGTAGGAGTATACATATGCAAAGGTTGTGTGGGAAAGGGTACATCTCTTTTGGAGTGTCACAAAAATAAACCAGTCCTTATCTGAAGAGACAGTACTATACAGACTCGTACCAAAACGGCCTGAGAAAATAATATTGAGAGCACTGGTAGCAAGTGTTCAAACAAATATGTGGAAAGTAAGAAACCCCTGGGTATTTAAAACATTGGCTTTCGAGTGCCTGATGTTGGGACTGTATGAACTGAATTACTACATCGATCGGGACAAGGAAGAGATTGGAGAAGAGGCAGCAGAAAAGAAATGGAGGAAAAAGGACTAGTCACACTTGTTTCACTGAACCAATAGAGTGTACTGATGGGCATTTTAAAGGTATTACAGGCAGTTTTTAAGCGTAATAGCTTTTTAGAGGGAGATTAAATAATAGTTATGGGGCTCCTTATGAAGAAATAGCATTTTTTGTTTTTTTTAGGGGGTCTTGGGGAAGTAGATGTATGTTGCATGGTTTTTTTTTAACATATGTAGGTTTATCATTTGTTACATAGTTGGGTTGCAATATGAAGTGCTGGTAAAACAGCGTTGTTTAATATGGGAAGTTTTGTAAGTGTAGAGTAATACATGTGTTTTTAATAAAATGTGCAAAAAGGGGCTCTTGTCAGCATGTTTGCCAGTGCGGGCCATATGTTTAATAGCTACTCTCACTGTTAGCTGCATTTAATTAACTTCATCATTGAGTTCCATTGCTGAGCGCATGCTGATTTCAGCAGCAGTTTAATGACAGTCTTTTTAGTGAGATTTCCTTGTATGCAATTGCAAGATGAGGGGCTTTTTGTCCTGTATTTGAATAAATACAGTACTTTGAGTACTAAAATTATACATATGCATAAGTCTGTAGGGCAGGCAAGAAATACTGTTCAGGTACAAAATATAAATTAACACACTCTTTATCCTAATATCAACATAACGGGGGGCCCAAAACTAGACACAGTACTCCAGATGTGGCCTCACCTGTACCTAAGTTTTCTAAAAACAAAATGAAATCACTGAAGGTTTTAAAGAAAAAGTTAAACGCACTCTGTCAGGAATGGTCCAATAATACTTGATTTTGCCTCAGAATTGAGGGGCAAGCTAAAACAGCACTTCCCACACTTTTTGCATTTATGCGCCAGCAGAGTTAGGTCAGCCACGCTTGTGTCATCCTACTTCAGCAGCCGAATGTAATTTGATGCTTTTGCTCATGCACAGTATTTGCATGATTTGCACATGCATGGGCAGTGGACTTATTGGGTAATATTTATCTTTATTTGTGGTCCCCTTCTAGGCGTGCTCCACAGTTTAGGAAATGCTGGATTAGACCATCTCCTTTTCTGCCCTATATTTCTATTTGATATATCCATCATAGTTAAAATACATTTCTTTCCTATAAAAGTGCTCTCCAGGAAGAGATGATCATAAAATAAAACTTTTCAAGGAAAATGTTAAAACAATCAGTGATTTGGATAGAGTTCCATATAGCTGTGAGGCCCAGAGCACTTTGGAGATTCAATTTCCCCAAGCTCTAAAGTATTTAAATTGGTCCTAAGAGGCAGCCAAGCTCTGTTTGAGGTCGCAGAGGCTCTCAGGAAGCAGTCTGGTTTGGCTGGTAAAGGTCTGATCTGATGCTGGGGATCAGTAGCACAGTGCTGCACTGTGCTGCCCCCTCCGCAGCATTCTCCTCTGCGGCAGAGCCTGCTACACTGCCACATCGGTGCTTGCCCTCCTTGCAGAGGGGATAGGGGTCAGCAGCCAAGGTAGGAAGACAGCTGGATGCTCCAGGGGCAGAGACTTGTGGCCTATGGTAGGGGCCGTGCCACAAAAAGTGGCCCACTGAACAACTGGAACCCAAATTTCCCACTTCCTACAAACACCAAGCTAGAGAATAGGTGAGGGGT